CAAAATATGCCACGTGTTCTTTGTGACAATTGTCATATGTCGTCACATGATGATGTCACTAGGCTGAACACTGCGTGACCACCCCAAATAATTTAATTATTAGAAATTTGCTCGAAAATAAAAAAAATTATTAATTTTTTTTTTATAAATGCACATGCCAAAACAACAACAACAACAATAATAATAATGTTGAGTCCTAGAATATTTGTGGCGGTACAGAAATATAAATTTAACGTTCTAGCTTTGTACGAAGGTCCAGCACACAAAAAGATAAAAGATATGGATGTAACATTCATAAGGAAAAAAAAGAATTTTTACGTGGAAACCTCTAAAAATGAGAAAAAATCACGGGTTCTTGTGAAGTTTAAATGAATACACTAATATTTGCAGTTGATTACAAATGAGATCTTTCATTGGGGGGAAGGACTTGGCTCAATGTAGCAAATATAAACCATATATAGTGCATTACATTATGGGAGTTCAAAGAATCAGTGTTGACATATTCGTTTGGTCGGCGGGATCATAATTAACGAGAGATGTAGGTTGGAAAGATTGTAGCTGGGCGACGGTGGTTGGAAGGATTGTAGTTGGGCGATAAAGGTCAGAAAGATCGTAGTAAGACGACATGATCAAAAGGACCGTAGTGGGCGTGCGATAAAGGTCGGAAGACTATAGTTTGGTGATGGTGGTCAGAAGGACTGCAGTAGGATGACAGTGGTAGGAAGGACCGTAGTCGACAGGAGATGGAGGTTGGAAAGAACAATGTTGGATAACGGTGGCTTAAAGAAATGTAATTGGATGACAGTGGTTAGAAAGACCATAGTCTGTAGGCAACAGAGGTCGAAAAGACTGTAATCGGATGACGGTGGTCAAATGACGGTGGTTGGAAGGACCGTATTTGGATGACGGTGGTCAAAAGGACCGTAGTCGGATGATGGTGGTCAGAAGGACTAGAGTCTGCGGGCGACGGAGGTTGGAAAGATCGTAGTCGGGTGACGGTCGGTAGTTAGACTAAAGTTTGGTGAAAATCAGATGACAATTGGTGGCTAGGATATGGTCGAGGAGGAGCTTGGTGGGAAGAGAAATTGTTCTCTTTCTCTTCCTCTACTCTTTTTTCTCCTCCCTTGCTTGGTCCCCTTTCACTGAAGAATGAGGGGTATATTTCTAGCTTTCTGGGAGTGGCATGACCAATAAATAGAGATAAGATCAAGAGCACATTGTGAGTAGTTCGAATGGACGACCAATATTGATTCTCTTGATCATGAATCCTTTATCGAATATTCAAGTGCCTTAATGATGTTAGAATTCAGCGATCTTAGCTCATTGGATTCGTCCCGTTGAGCTACTCGATTCAATTATAAGCATTTCACGTTTGGATAACAAATGGTTATCCAATTTATGCTTTGAGCCCTTGATTTTGACCCATTTGGGCTCACTCTGGATCAAATTAGGTGTCGTTAGGTCCGCCTTTTCCAGACGTTCATTTCGACTGTAAGTTTGTTTAAATTGGAGTTCATATTACCCCAAATCTAATTTTTGAAAGTTTTCAATATCAATTTGTCTCAAGATTCATGTTCAAGATAATTTTTTGATGATATATCAATTAATAATAATAAGTACTATAATTAAAATTTATGATAAATTTTAAAAAATAAGATTCTTTTTAATTAAACGCATATAAAAAATTAAAGATATTTTTGGAGATTATAAAAAATAATTAAACACATATAAATAACAATAATAATGGATTTATCTATAGAACATTTATAATGCTATTAAGCGCACTTTAATTAGGGATATGAATATTCATTGAAATGTAAAATAGAAAAAAAAATAATTTTAACATTAAACATTTAAAAATAATAAATTCTGAAAATTTCACATAAAATATATAATTAATATCACATTATCACGATTTTTTAAAAAATTATGATGAAAAAGGAGGTCAAAAATTTAAAATTGGATAATTGGTTGCCGGCCTCTGCTTCTCAGCTGAAGGTCATGCGGTCCCTTCTTTAGGATAAATTATTATGTGCAGACACCAGATATTTAGAAGGCGAATTAGAGCGTATCACATCACCTAGTACATGAGCGGGTACATAGCCGCGATACACAGTAAAAGCGTGATGTGGCGCGCTCTGATTCACCTCTAGATGGCGTCCGTATCTGCACAGAATAATTTCCCCTTATCTCTTCTTTAGAGGTTCTCTTTTCTTAGCTCCACGACCACATGATTGAAAACAACCTTATTTTATTTTAAATTATTTTAATAATTCTAAAAAAAGTAATAAATTAAAACAATAAATTTTAGTTTTGATAATTACAATTCCGTTTCAGTTGAAATTGATGTGATCCTTATTGATATTTTTTTTTTAGTTTTATTATTATGATCAAATTCAATTTTAAATTAAGATTAAACAAAAATTTTGTGAAATTAAAAAACTTTTATTTTAAATTCATATGTTAGCATTGAAGTTCTATAAAATTTTGAAATAATCATTAAAATTGTATTATAATTTTGTAATTAAGACTTTATTTGGAATAATTTTTTATTATTTTCTAGCACAAAATTTGTTTTAAAAAAAAATAATGATCTAAAGCTACCTAAAATGAAGCCTAAGATTGTTAGGTTCAAATTTGCAAATAACACTGCTCACCTTGGCTTGTTGGTTGAAAGCTTAGGCTTCCAACTAAGATGTCTTATATTCGAGTCTTTGTGTATGCGTTGTGTTTATAAGTTTGCCTTAATTGACCTAAATGTCCCAAAAAAATTACAAATAAGTGACAAAAATATTTTATTAGTAAATTTTAGACGTATAGCTTCCACGACATGTATAAATTAAAAAATTTTAACTTTTGGCAACTATCAACTCTTAAGGAGAAGTAATTACGTTATCAAATAATAAAAATGTCATTTTTTTGGAATTAATTAAAACACAACCACAAAAATTAATAGTTTTAAAGAGACTTTCAATTTTAAATAAGAAAAAAGAAATATATTTTTTTCCTTCTTCTAGAGGGACGGATAACTGATCTCCTGGATTGGAGAGCGACTGTACCGACAAACTCTGCCAATTACATATTATTGAAACGGATTAGTATTTATTTAGTAAATAATCGCACCTCTATCTTTCCAGTTGGAAGTCTTATAAAAGATGGCTTTTTAAATGATGGAGCAGAGAGTGGAAATACTGTTAATTATATTGCTTTGAAATTTTCTCTCATTACGCTATTTCCATAAAAAGTAAACAAAAGAGCAAATGGTCAGATAATAAAGCCGTCTAAGAGCCCAAGATATAATTTTTACAATTAGTTTTTCTTTTATGTCATGTTTACCTTTTTACCATGCAATTATTTATGCTTTAGCTTTTTTTCACCGCCTAAAATTTTATTGGTTGATCTTGTCTGACGTGGTGGATTCCTTTGTCGCAAACTGAGCTTTCCTGTTTTCTGCGATGGACTTCTATGTGAAAAATTGTCCTCGAATGACCACCGATTACTCATTGTAGGTCTAATGTTAGCAATACAGAGAATTTCCTTTGTCACAAACTGAGAATTTCCTGTTTTCATTTGTAGTGTCAATAGCTAGAGGGCAGTAAGGCATGAACCTGCAACCTGTAGAAAGGTTTCACTTGGGAAACCAAGAACTCAGAGCAGATTAAGGAAGAGATGTAAAGAAGATAAGAAGTATTATTTTCATTACCGTGAACAATACATAATACCATTATTTATAGACTTGTTTCCTAGTTACATAACCGGCTACAGGCTTTTCATACTCACTAATATCCCCCGTCAAACTGATGGGTCGAAGAGTGACTCTCAGTTTGTCTCTGAGATAGTGAAATCTTGGTGTTGTGAGAGGTTTGGTAAATATATCAGCAATTTGATCAGTGGTGCTAATGGGAAGAAGCCTTAACGTCTTTTGCTCGATGTGATCCCTGAGGAACCGATGATCGATTTCTATGTGCTTTGTCCGAGCGTGAAACACTGGGTTGTTTGCTAGCGCAATTGCCGAGGTGTTATCGCAGTATACGTCTGTGGGTAGAAGCTGTGGAATACCGAAATCAGATAGGATTCGTCTGAGCCATATGACGTCCGCAGTCAAAGCGGCGAGTGCTCGATACTCAGACTCGGTTGAAGATCGAGCAACGGTATGTTGTTTCTTTATTGTCCAAGCGATGAGAGATTGACCGAGGAAAGAGCAGTATCCTGAGGTTGATTTTCAAGTGATAGGATCCCCAGCCCAGTCAGCATCTGAAAAAGAGGTGAGACATAAATCAGATTTGATGAACGGAATACCATAGTCAGACGTACCTTGGATATAACGAAGAAGACGTTCGAGGAGGTAGATGTGTTGGGCGTCGGGCTGATGCATATGTTGCAAGAGTTGGTTGATGCTGTAGGCAATGTCGGGCGAGTGAGTGTTAAGTATTGAAGAGATCCTGTGATTCTGCGATATGTGGTAGAGTCAGATAGTGTGTTGTCCGTTGGTGGATTCTGAGGAAGCTTTGTGCACGTCGGGTTGGATAACTTGTTACAGTGTGAGAGATGTACAGATTGTAAGATGGACATGGCATAAGATTGCTGTGAAAGAAAAAGCTGATTTTCTGATCTGGTGATATTGATTCCAAGAAACATGTGAGCTTCGCCTAGATGTTTCATATTGAATTTGGTATTAAGTTGTTGCAGAATTTGATCAAAAACCGTGGCATCGTTTCCTGTTAGAAGCACGTCATCCACGTATATTAACATGTAGATTTGAGTTTGCTGTTTCTGGAAGATGAGAAGTGATGGATCCGAGGAGCTGTTTGAATCCCATGGAAACGAGGGTTGATGTGAACATATTGTACCACTGACACGGAGCCTGTTTGAGACCATATATTGCTTTGTGAAGATGACAGACATAGAATTCCTAGAGAGAGAAACTCTGGTGAGGTTTCTAGAGAGAGAAAACATCTGCGTTTAGAATTCGATTTTCGCGGGTTTTTCGCGACACTTACAACAGCAGCAATTTGATGAAAGGGTCGACCAAGGTGCCTATTTTGGGAGCGAGAGTGGAAAGGGCTCCTCCTCCACTATACATAATAGAGGTGCACGGGGTCCTATGGATCAGTACATGACTACTGCAGGAGCAGATAGAGGAGAAGCAGAGATGATGCCTGCAGCTGGTACTAGAGAGGGTCGGCGACAGGTTTGCATGGACATTGGGAGGTTTTTTTTTGAAAATGCAATACCATTTAATGTTGCTACATCGCCTGCCTACTTCAGTATGATGCGGTCTGTAGGATTGTATGGAAGAGGGTTGAAAGCACCTTCTATGTATGAGTTGCGCACTTGGATTTTAAAAGAGGAGTTGCAGAACACCGAGCGAACCATTGGTGAGATTAAAAGGACATGGATTGAGACAGGTGTGACTATAATGTCAGATGGATGGTCTGACATGAAGAGTAGGAGTTTGATAAACATCCTTGTCAACAATCCCTATGGTACAGTGTTCTTAAGATCTGTTGAAGCTTCTGATGAGGTGAAGAATGCTACATTCATTTTCAATTTACTTGATGGAGTTATTGAGGAGATTGGAGAGCAGTTGGTTGTCCAGGTAGTGACTGATAATGCCAGTGCATACAAAGCAGCTGGTCAGATGTTGATGGAGAAGAGGACACACCTCTATTGGACACCTTGCGCAGCACATTGTATTGATCTCATATTGGAGGATCTTGGTGACTTACCTCAGCACAAGAGTGCTCTTGTTAGGGCGAAGAAGATTACAAAATTCATCTACAATCACTCTTGGGTCTTAAGCTTAATGAGAAAATTTTCAAAGAAAGAAATCATTCGACCTGCAACCACTAGGTATGTTCATATTTTTTACATTGTAAATCATTCCAACTGTATGTTCGTAGTTTTAACATTTGGGCACTGTGAATCTATAGGTTTGCCACCTCCTATTTGACACTGCAGAGCTTGATGGAGGTGAGGCAACCTTTGGAAGCCATGTTTACATCAACTGAATGGCTAAACTCTGCTTGGGGGAAGAAGAGTGAGGGAAAGGAGATAAGAAAGATAATTCTGAATGATAAATTTTGGGCTACTGTGACCTATGCCATTTTGAGCACGAGACCCTTAGTGCAAGTTCTACGCTTAGTGGATGCAGAGAAGAAACCAGCTATGGGTTTTATTTATAATGCTATGGATGAGGCCAAGGAGTTGATTGCACATAACTTGGGAGGAGAGGAGGCAAGTTATAGGGAGATTTGGGATATCGTTGATGCTCGGTGGGAGGTGCAGTTACACCGACATCTACATGCAGCTGCATATTATCTTAACCCTCAATTTCAATATTCAGAGAAAAAATCTTCAAATCCGGAAGTTAAGCTTGGTCTATATCACTGTATGGAAAGATTAATACCGGAGCAGGCAGATAGGGAGCTTGCAGATTTACAGCTTGTTCTGTTCCGGAATAAAGAGGGTTTTTTTGGTTTGAATGCAGCAAAAACTACCATTTCTAAACGGTCTCCAGGTATAATTAATTTGGTAAATGCAATACACTTTATTCAGTTCTGAATTTTGATTATATTTTCTTCTTGAAAACAGTTGAATGGTGGATCCAATTTGGTGATTCCACCCCTGAGCTACAGAGTTTTGCTGTGAGAGTGTTGGGCCTCACTTGTTCTTCTTCTGGGTGTGAGCGAAATTGGAGTACATATAGTCAAGTGCAAACAAAGAGAAGAAATCGACTATCTACACTCAGAATGAACTCCCTCGTATACATAATGCACAACAAGAGGTTAAGAGATAGGAGGTTGAGGAATAAGGGGTTGAAAGATGATGAAGACCCGTTGGTGTGTGATGATCTGTCGTCTGATAATGAGTGGTTCATAGATGATGAGGCAGATTTATCATTATCAGACTTACAGGTAGAAGATCTAAATGTGGATGTATTGAGGGGCGAAGCAGATCAAACGGGTACATCCACTAGTACTACACCACACACATCTACTAGCTCTGCAAGTAAAGGTATATGTTCTCTGCCAGTCTGCCTGATAATGAGTGGTTCATCCAATTAATATGCTAATAATCTTTTCTTTTAATGAACAGGGAAGAGAAAAGTGAGTCATGTTGAAGATGAAGATGACATGGCATTCATAGATACAATTGGAGAAGAAGATTCACTTGAAGACTGATATTTTGTGATGGGATATGATTTCATTTTATATGTTTTTTGTATTTTGAGAGTTTTGTTAAACTGATATTTTGTGATTTTGTACTTTGGGACATAATTTTATTGCATCTACTTTCTTATTTTCCAATATTGCTATTATTTTCCTGCTAAAATCCTTAATTTTTCATTTACGCAATTCTGTGTTCGTGAGGCTTACGCCTCAGACCGCCTCGAGGCTTACGCCTCGCCTCACGGACGAAAACCGCCTCGAGGCGCAGTTACGCAATTTTAAACCTTGCTATCAACTGATAGTATAAGATCCGTCCTCACAAACAAATGCAATCAACAAACCCACATGGGATTGGTGAAAGGGTGGATATGATGCAGAAACAATAGGTCTTTTACAAACATTTTCAGGAGGTCGTAGTAGATGCAGCGGTCCCCTGCAAATGGATACTTGTGGATAACAACAGTGTATTGTAAGTACAATGAATCACTGTGGACACTGTGGACACAAGTACGGATATCACCTACAACAGTGGTGATCAAGATCTTCAAGTACGTCAGGTACAAGGGCAACCCGGTGTATGAAAGAGGATCGTCCCCTGTAAACAAGTACAATTAGCAAAACCCACCTGAGATTGTTGACAGGTGGATATGATGTAGAAAATAATGGCTCTCCTACGAACATTTCTAAGAAGTGGTAGTGGATACAATGAGTTCCCTGCAAATGAACATAAACCACTTGTGGATAACAACAGTGGATACATCATAGATACAACGAACCACTGTGGGCACAAGTATATATATCACCTATGACAACAGTGATTAAGATCTTCAAGTATGTCGGGTACAAGGGCAACTCAACGTACGAAAAAGAACAGCTCCTGGTGGAATGGAAGAGATGTTTGAGCAAATTCCAACTAAACTTCGCCTGGTCCTGTATTTAAAAAGAAAATAATTTTGACATCCACAAATTTCAAAGATAATAAGTTTACTACACTAAAGAGCTTGAAAGAGTCCTTTTCAAAGCTACGGTTACAAACTTCAAAAAGACTCTCCCCGGTGAATGAGAAAAGGGAAGTCAGCATGAAGACGAGGAGATGCCTCATAACATCAAGACTATAATGTCACGCCACCAGATCTGCAACACTTATACAAGCAGACAGAAGGCGTCTACAATCTACAACGCCCGCCACCGGATCCGCAATACTCGTACTAGCAGACAGAAGGCATACATAATCTCTCAAATGAAAAGTTGTGTGCATCCAAATGATAGTTATTTGTATAACTACAACTATTTCAAGATACCCCTGCACGTGCATCGTAGATTGTATACACATAGGTACACTAAAAGGGGGGAAAGTACAATCTCAACCCGCATGGGCCCCGGCGAGCGTGTTATTTGTACACACGTGACGCCTAGGGATGCTGCGCAGGTCAACAAGTGAATTCGGGTTCGAACCTGATCCTTCTCTACGGATCTATAGGGGTCGACAGGGTTCGAACCTTCAAACAAATACACGGTTGTGGCGACCAATGCATATTAGGCCTTCAAGGCCTACAATTAAGAGAATTCACTAAACAAAGGCATGAAGCCTACAAAACCTGATCCCCTATCGGCAAGTTTATAGGGTCGACAGGGTTTGGTCAATGAATGATCCCAAACACCCCGATGATGACTGTGTTGAACGAAAATCTCAACCAGAGGGGTTCATTCCAAACATTTTAATTGCCTCCCAAAAGTCCACTCAAAATCCAAAAATTCCAAAATTTAAGTTATTTAAATTTGAAATCATCCATCAATCACTCATAGCAAAATCCATCCACCATCTGCAACAGTTTGCCGAGGTGGACAAATTCAAATATAACTTCAGCTCACATAGTGTTAATGCCTAATTGAAAATATTACTAGTATCCATTCTCAAACAATCTCTTGCCAGTAAGGACGTGGTACGTGTCCTCTAACCGGCGGTTTTGCCTCCAAATGGCACCGTAGGATAAACGGTTATGACCCGGGGCCCTTTGAACTGAGTTATTTTGCTGCCAAATGGCACCACAAAATACCGGTTATGGCCAGAGCTAATACGCTCCTATTGGCATCAAATCCTTGAGATATAAATCAATAGAATATGATCGATATGGCACAACGCCCTCTGTTAGCTAAGGTGGATTCAAATTTGTCCCCTTAGGCAAATATCCATCCCAGCTCTACAAGGTCCCCTTGGACGAAGCAACCCATGGCTGCCAACAATGATCCTTCTGTTAGGTTGGGTCGACTACCTTCTCTGACTAAGTAGACTAGGGACCACGATGGCCCGGGACGACGGAATCATGGGATCTTGATCGGGTCCATCATCCATTCCTCCACCATCCGCTTTAAGTGCAAGATGGTGGAAATTTCTATTTTAAATATCAAAATTTTCAAACATCCAGACCCTTCAAATTTTTGAATTCCCAAACCTATGCTGCTACTATATGCTAGATAATGCGTATTTCTACGTATCTGATTGATGACTAGCCTTAATCGAAAGTTCTCTCTCGTGATCGGGAGGGGTAATTAACTATAGGGGCTTGCGCTTATAGGAAACCAGAACTCAGATCATAAAGTCCTCGGAAAATGAGGGCGAAATCTCTCGGTAGTGTCTTATCTACAAACCCATCTGCCTTCCAAAATTTACCCTGGAACTTATTCCGTTAAAACTCCCTCACCAAATAAAAAACACTGTCATGCGCGGCGGGGAGGCCGGGGCCGAATTTTTGGAGCCCACAATCCCGTCTGTACAAAACACATTTGCAAAGTGTAATGAAAAGATGTGTTGTATCAGTACTCAGCCTATGATAGCTACTTGGCCCATAGCTTGGGTGTCTCCTACACAAAGCATCTCAAGTAAGTCTCCAAGCTCTTGTTGATTACTTCCGTTTGGCCATCCGTATGTGGGTGGTAAACTGTGCTCCTCTTCAGAATTGTCCCCTGTAATCTGAACAACTCCCTCCAAAAGTGATTGAGGAACACCATCTCTATCTGATAATATCGCCTTTGGTAGTCCATGCAATCTGACCACATCTCTGATGAAAGCTGATGCTACTATCACCATGGTGTAAGGGTGTCCACCCCAACAACTTGGACAGCCCCCTCTGATGCTTCTCTGTCACCATCTGCTGTTCCAGTAGGTATTTCAAGATCCGTTGATGTCTTGACAATTGAATACCTCCATAGTATGTAGGGTCTCCACTTATGGATGGCCAAAATGATGGCCATTAACTCTTTTTCATAAATTGACTTCAGCCTAGCTATAGTAGTCAATACCTGGCGAAATAGGCAATGGGTCTATGACTCTGCATAAGCACTACACCTAATTCGTACCCAGACACATCTGTCTCCACTATGAAGATCTGAGTGAAATCTGGCAAAGTTAGGACCGGTACCATAGTCATTGCCTTCTTCAGACTCTCAAATGCTGATGTTGCCGCCTCCCCCAATAGAAAACCGTTCTTCAATTGCTCAGTGAGTGGCCATGCTATGGTGCTGTAGCCCTTTACAAACCTTCTGTAGTAACTTGTTAGTCCTAGAAATCCCCTCAGCTCCTTTAGATTTTTAGGCACATGCCACTTCAGCATTACCTTAATTTTGGACAGATCTGCCGCCACCCCTTCTTTTGATACAACATGGCTCAAGTACTCTACACTGGCTTGTGCGAAGTAGCACTTCTTCAAATTGGTTCTCAAATAGTGCTTCTGCAGCACCTCTAACACCCTTTTTAAATGCTCCTAATACTCCTCTTCTGTCTTACAGTAGACTAGGATGTCATTGAAGAATATCAATACAAATCGTCTGAGATAAGGTTTGAAAATCTTATTCACAAGTGCCTAGTAAGTGGCTAGAGCATTGGTGAGGCCAAAAGACATCACAAGAAACTCATAGTATCCCTCATGAGTTCTGAAGGTAGTCTTGGGCACATCCTCCTTCATTCGGATCTAATGATATCCTGATTTCAGATCTATCTTGCTGAAGGTCACTATGCCACTCAATTCATCTAACAGCTCATCAATAATTGGTATTGAAAACATGCCAGGTATAGTTTCCTTGTTGAGCGCCCTGTAGTCCACACAGAATCGCCAGCTGCCGTCCTTCTTCTTCACCAATAGAACTAGACTAGAGCAGGGACAAACACTGGGTTTGATGATGCTTGCCCCCAGCATCTCTCTAATTAATTTTTCAATTTCGTCTTTCTGAAATTGGGGGTAGCGATAAAGCCGTATGCTGATGGGTGACACACCCTCCCTCAATGATGGCGTGCTCCTGCTCCTTCTACGATGGCAATCCCTGAGGTGGCTGAAACACTTCTTGGAATTGTTGAATCAGCGGCTATATGGAGAGGGGTATGTCCCCTCCCTCTTCCAACCTAGCTCCCTCCAAACTGTGTAGCTCCAACAAATATCCTGCATCGGCCAACTATATATCCCTCACCATAGTTTTAAGAGAAATCATGGATTTGGATAGCCCTGCATCTCCCTTAATCACCACTTTCCTTCCATCTACCATCAACTCTATTGTGAGTGCTCGCCAATTCACCTTGGTGTCTTCCAAAGTCTGTAGCCATTTCATCCCCAAGATGATATTTGTACTCCCTAACTCTAGTGGAAGAAAATCTTCCCTCACATGAATCCCTTGGATAGTCAGTAGCACTCCTCTGCAGATCCCCTGACTTTTCTCTACCTTCCCCGTACTCATCATTACCCCGTAACAACCGGTATCCACCAATCTCACTCCTAATTGGTCGACGACTTGAGTGGAAATGAAATTGTGAGTAGCCCCACTATCAATGAACACCACCACCTCCCTTTCCTCTATCTCCATCTTCACTTTCATGGTATGATTCGTAGTGTATCCTACCACTGAGTTTAGGGAAACTTCGGCCAGATCCAAATACAGCTTCTCCTCCATCTCCTCCTCTGACCCCTCCTCATCTCCCTCCTCAATTTCCTCATTATCACAGACATTGAGAACCTGAAGAGTTCGATCCTTACACCAATGCCTT